ATCCACCTATATTGAACATGTCCACCAAGATAAGCTTTATATGCAAGATGCACAGGTAAATGTTCCATGGAGTCAAAGAAACCAGGCGGAAATACTTGTTCCAACTTACAAAGAATGAGTGCAATGTTTTGGTCCAACTTAATGATGTCTTCCACTTTTAAAGCTGACGCACAAATATCTCTAAAGAATTGACTAATTTCAGTTAGTGGGTCAAGAACATGTTTGGGTAGCGATCCAAATGCAATTGGTAGCAACTGTTCCATAAAAATGTGACAATCATGACTTTTCATACCATGTAATTTTCCAGTGTTAGGGTCAGCACACCTTGCTAAATTTGATGAATACCCATCGGGCATTCTCAATTCTTTTAACCATCGACAAACCGCTTTAGCTTCTTGGGAAGTCAGACTGAAACAAGCCTTGGGTTTTAATAATTTTCCATTCGGTTGAGGCTTCAACTCCAACTCTCTTCGATTACACCAAATTCCCATGTCTTGTCTGGCCTTCTCATTATCTTTTGTTTTTCCTGTCACATCCATCACTGTTAAATACATTATCAAAAAAATTCTTCTCAATATGCATAACATCAAGATTATGGCGCAACAAATTATCTTTCCAATACGGAAGATCCCAAAATATACTTCTTTTTGTCCAATTGTGGGTGACGCCGTATCCTTCAATTCGGCATGCTTTGCCAGTATCTGTAAATTTTGGTAGTTCACATACTTGGTTCCATATAACCCCTGGTGGCAATCGAGGCGGAGGCAAATATTTCTCTCGTACATCTTTTTTAAAATTTGTCTTGTTTCTTCTATATGGATGATTTGCTGGTAGGAATCTGCGGTGACAGTCAAACCATGAGCTTTTCCCACCTTTATCCAACGTAAATGCTTTGGTGTATCCCATGCAATGCGGACAACCCATTTTTCCATGCGTACCCCAACCAGACAACATGTCATATGCTGGAAAGTCATTAACGGTCCACATCAAGGCAGCTCGTAATGTGAAGTTCTGTTTACGGGATATATCATAAGTCCATTCTCCAATCCACATCTTCTTCAAATCATCAATTATAGGTTGTAAGTACACATCAATTCCGGCTTTTGGACTGTGCGGGCCTGGAATAACACACGTCAAAAACATGTATGGTTTTGTCATGCACATCTCAGGAGGGAGGTTGTAAGGTGTTACAATAACTGGCCAACAAGAATACGCACTTCCTGACGCTTGCACGTATGGGGAAAATCCATCAGAGCATAATCCAAGCCTGACATTTCTAGGTTCTGCAGCAAAATCTGGATGTGTCTGATCAAAGTGCTTCCATGCCTCACCATCAGATGGATGTCGCATAGTGCCAGAACTTGTTTGGTTTGTATGATGCCATGTCATTTGACTTGCACTGTGCATTGAAGCAAACATTCTTTTTAACCTTGGTATTATAGGAAGATAAAACATGGATTTTACTGCTACACGCTTTTGCTTGCTGTTAACGGCTCTACTGCGAACTTGATATCTTGGACTATTACAAAACTTACATTCCTCTAACGATCCATCTTGAGTACCAAACTCATTGTCATAAAACAACATGCAACCGTTAATGCAACAGTCAATCTTTCTTACTTTTAAACCCAACTTCGACACCCACTTCTTTGCATCATAATAACTTGTAGGCAAGTTGTCTTTCGTAGCGGTGGAGTCCAACATCATTTTTGCAAAATGTTTCAGACATTGATCAGAAACATTCCAATTTGACTTGGCGGCCAATAATCTCACACACATTGATAGCTTTGAGTCTGACGACCCCTCAAACAACGACGTATTCATCTCGTTCAATAATTGATAAAACCTTTGCGCTTCCTCATTCAGCAACTCTTCCCCGTCAAAATCTCCAGGTTCATCATATGTCACGTTCACACCAAAAGCATCCTCAACCATGTCACCGATCAAATTAAAGTTCTCCTCATACTCCATAACCGGTCGACTACTTGAAGCATGCGTGTTGCTAGTCTCTGGTACATTAACCGGTAGTTCTTCATCATTATACGTCCAAACCCAATAATTTTCAATGAATCCCCTTCTATGCAGATGACGTGTTACTTCCTCTGGGTCACTAATTATTGGTCTACATTCACATTTAAGACAGGGACACCTAACCCCTCCTTCACTTCGACAACAATCCTGAGCAAACGCCCACTTAATAAACCCATCAACTCCTACTATAAAATTGGGTTTAAGTCCACTTCTTCCTGGATATGTTCTATCGTACATCCAACTACGATAATACCGATAATATTCCATACTGCACATTTATACAATCATTGTCTTTTTCATTAGAAATATTAATCAACTTAATAATATTATTCTTAAACTATTTAATACTATTCTTAAAAATATAAATTTTGCTTTTTTATATATATACTAACATATAAATAAATATTCAAATGTAAAATATATAATTTTTTATTATATAACAATAATATCAAAAAACAATAATATAACATATTTACTTTTTATTATATATACAATAATAATATTAGAAAACAAATAATGTAACATATATACTTTTTATTATATATATAACAATAATATTAAAATAATAATATAATATATATACTCTTTTTTTAATTATGTTTTTTATAAATTCTTATTTTAATATATAATTTTTTTTTCATATCTTTAACATATAAATAAAAAAATAAAATTATTATAATAAATATAATATACATTTTTGTTTTTAAATATGCTATTAAATTTATGTGTTAACATATATATATATATATATATATATATATATATATATATATATATATATATATATATATATATATATATATATATATATATATATATATATATATATATATATATATATATATATATATATATATATATATATATATATATATATATATATATATATATATATATATATATATATATATATATATATATATATATATATATATAAAATAAGACTTTTAATTTTATGTTTTCTAAAAAAATTTATTTTAATATATATTAAAAAAAAAATTATTTTATACGTATATACTAACAAATTTTTTTTATATGTCTATATAACATGCAATAATATTAATAAATATTAACCTATATATATATTAACAATAATATTTTTGTTTAATAATATATTAATATATAAAACATTCTAATTTTTATTTTATTTTAAACATTAACCTATAATACTAATTAACCTAAAACTAAAATTAAGTAAAATATTTTTTTAATTCACATAAACAAAATACATATACTACTAATCTATATAATACATATAAAATATAAAAAAAATGCATAAATACCTCTATATAATTTCTTCACTTAATTTGCTTCTTCTTGTGTAGCTCTTGGTGTTCTTCTCCAAATTTCTCTACAGGTTAAACAAAATACCCTTTTTAATATTTATTACCAGTATAATAAATAATGAACAAATGAAATAAAAATTTATCAAAATATGAATATCTTATTCTTCTTCAATAATTTGGGATGGAGGAAATTTGATTTGGGAATTTGGGTTTGAGAGGAAGAAGAAAGGAAGAAGAAAGGAAGAGGAAAGGAAGAAGAAAGGAAGAGGAAACAAACCACACCAGATGCTGTAACGGATGATAATTTTGTGGAGATGTAAATATTGCCACGTGATACTCACGTCGCTACACACTCAACAGAAATATAATTCACTTTTCCACTCTGTCACCCTGTAATCAATCAACTTTAATTTCCCCCTTTAATGTAGCGACGTGGCTATCACGTCACTACCAAATTTCAAATTTCCCCCTTCTGTAGCGACGTGTAAGACACGTCGCTGATTTTTTTATTAAACAACCTTCTCTGACTTGTTTTATTTATCATTAAAATATGTTTGTGACGTAATTATCACGTCGCAACTGCATTTATTACTCACGTGATAACCACGTCGCTAATATATGTCGCTGGGGATCATCTTTCTTGTAGTGAACCGAACCAACCGAACCAATCCAAACCCCATTAATTTGATTTGGTTTGGTTCGGATTTATTTTTAAAAGTCAACCGAACCAAACCGAACCGCATATTTTTTTCTCTTGCAGTTCGGATGATTTTTTGCTCCAAAACCGCTCAAACTACACCGCGAACACTCCTAATTAATACATCTAACTTTGAGATAAATGTGAAATCCTGTCTAATTTAAATGTGCTCTCTATAATTTGAAATTGCACTAGCACCTGGGTGCTTTTAAATGTCTAAATAATTGATGTATTTGTTCACGTAAATGCCCTCAAATATAAGGTATGAGACCACGTTGTGTCATTCTATGTTGTCGAGGTTGACATCTTGAAAAATAACATTGAGTTTTGCTATTGAACTTATTATGTAATATGAAATCCCATTACATTTTCATCCTCAAAATCACTTTCGATGTATAGATAAAGAGAAAGAAAAAAAACGTAATTTTGTGCAGTTAAAATATATTCAGCCTAAAAATACATTTTCTAAGATTTTTTAGAAACAAGAGGAGAGCAAAGTTGTTTTCATTTTGTAATTGAATTTGGTGGCCTAGCCAAGTCCCCCTCTAATCAAATTACAATAGCATACCACAAAATAGCATCATGCAACATCTACGTCCATTTTACAACCAAAACGCATACACAACTATCACTGGTCTAAAACCTCCCACGTGTTAACCACTCACCATCACCTTAAGTGTTAAGTATTCTCTCTCCTCCCCTTTTTTTACTATAATAATAATAATATAATAATACTTGTGCTAGAAGTAAGAGTGCTCCTAGGTTCTTATAGTCTTCATTAGATTTCATAGGATTGCGCCGTCTGCTACATATACATTAACAGTATCAAAACCCTTCACCACACACTACCTCAACTCATTTTTCTCATCATCTTCTTGTTTATAACATCATAAATACCCATTACATATACTCATCAGAATTGTCTGGCTAGATCATAGAAACACTCAACTAGTTTTGATTCTTATTTTGGTTGCTGTTTTGAAGATATGGGTTTGAGTTCTAAACAGGTTATTTCTAGCACTGGACTTGATTGGAAACAAACCTTATTGGAATCTCAAGATTTGGAACTTCCAAAGCCTCATCATTTAATGAGGAAACAGCAACAAAGTCCTCAGCAGCAATCAGCAGAACATTTGAAGTGTCCAAGATGTGATTCAACAAACACAAAGTTTTGTTACTACAACAATTACAACAAGTCTCAGCCTCGCCATTTTTGTAGAGCTTGTAAAAGACACTGGACTAAAGGTGGAACTCTACGCAATGTTCCTGTTGGTGGTGGAAGAAAGAATAAGAGGGTCAAAAAATCAACCACCACACCAGTTACTTCTTCCACCACCACCACCACCGCCGCCGCCGCAGCCGCCACAGCAACTACTGCTTGCACCACCTCAATTCAAACACCTGATCTTCAAGTGAGTGATCATCAAAAAACCATTCCTAACTCATCTCTATATCAAGCTCTAATTCATCCACCATCTTTGCTTCTACAACAGAATATGATGATGATGGACACAAGAGACTTATTAGAAAGCAAAGATTTTGGCATGTTTACTACTACTTCTTCAACTTTACCTATTCCTCATCAGAATCAAAGCTTGCTCTTCCCCTTTTCAACCTCCTCAAGCTCTTTTGACACAACCACTTGTTCATCTTCCAATGTTTATTACTATGGACAAGAGTTTAAAACAATGGAGGAACAGGAACAGGAAGATGAACCTATAATTCCTAACACAAAGCCATGGGAGACACCGATACCGATACCGATACCGATACCAACATCATTACCATTACCAGCAACAAGTGGTGGCATGGAAGCTTCAAAGTATTGGAACTGGGAAGACATTGATTCATTGGTATCTGCTGATTTAAAGGATCCTTATTGGGATGATTCTGATATCAAACCATGAAACGAGAAAAACAAGAAAAAGTAACATCAACATTCAACATATGTTGTAGTGTCTTGTTACTGTCCATAGATTAATTAGTCTATTTAATTTAATTGGGGTTGTATTTTTTTGTGTTTTTTCATATAGATAATTAAGCAAGTGTTGTTGTTAATTTTCCAAATGGGGCATGTTAATTATCTTGTGCTGCTTTTTTCTGCATATGTAATTCTTCCTTAAAAAAACAGTATTTGGATTGAAGCTGTCATGTTTTAGTTTCAGCTTCAGGTTCAAGAAAAGGGTCCCAATTAGCTGTAATCCACTCACTTTGCCTCTATGTTTGTTCATCTCTCTATTGTTTTTTTTCTTTAATTTGTAATAAATTGGTTTTTTTTAGAGAATGCAAGTAGTGTAACTTTATTTCTTAATATAGGATTTTTTTTTTTTGAAGTTTTCTGAGTGTTTTGTTATGTGGATGATATAGATATGGAATCTGCTTCAGCACTGAACAGACAGGAGAATGTGATGGAAGATTCTTGAGGATATGTTTATTTGTTGGGAATGACATTATCATAAAGATCTTATTGCTTCTGAATCAGCATCTTGAGATCATTCTTTGATCCAGGGTTAAAAAAATACTAAGTTGTATAGTTGTTTATTATTAATTCCGTCTTATAACAAGAGTCTCATTTGAATTTCGTGCAGTTTTTAAGAAAATGATTAAATGTGTTGATTTTAATAATAAAATTAGTATTATTTATTAAAATATTTTTAGTAGAATAGTTCAAAAACGTAAAAATTAATAAATAGAGATATAATAGTAAAAAAAATAATAAATATTATATTACTATTTTAAAGAAATATTTATTTTGAAACATAGAAAAAATACAAATAAAATATTTATTATGAGACAGAGGGAGTAATATTTTTATCTTTACTATTATGTCTGTTTTTAACACTCGTCGGACACAAACATCTAATACGATACTTACACGTCGACACTATTTTTAAGGAAAATTAATATTTTTGATATCGGAGTATCTATGTCACAAACACGATCATACACGGACATCTAATACGATATGACACGTCGACACCATTAAAAAATGTTTTTGTTATTAAAGTGTTGGTGTACCATACGTTATTTTTAGAGAAAAATAATGTTTTTGATATTGGAATGTCTGTATAACAAACACGAACATCTGATACAATATTAACACAATAACACTATTTATAAAGAGAGAATATTTTTAATATTGGAGTGTCGATGTACTAGATACAAACATTTGATGCAATACTAACACATCGACACCATTTATAGAGAGAAAGAAATGATTCTAATACGATGCTGAGACGTCGACACTATTCATAGAAAGAAAAAATGTTTTTTAATATTTGAGTGTCAATGTACCAAACACAAACATCTGATATGATACTCGACACATTTTATAAAGAGAGAAATAATTTTGTTATTAGAGTGTCGGTGCTCCAAACACGATACTCACATCGGCACGTATCAGACCACCAAATACATCTCCGTTATTAATCTAAATAGAGGATTGGTTCAATTGAAATAGAATAGTGAATAGTGTAAGGTTATTTGGACCACCAAATATTGAAGGGTGGTTGTGTGATTGTCGTTTCTTGTATTATTGATGAGTGAAGAGGCAGCCATGGACCAATATACAGTATCAGTAGAGCTCTTTTAAGTCACAAAGTTTCCCCACAAAGCAATAAATTAAAAAGTATCATTGGTAAACAATTGCAGCTTTGTACTTTATGCATGTGATATGAGGATTCAAACACTACCTTAACAAGTAGCCACAATGATCTTGATCAGATTCATACGCATGCTTTTCTGGTCTATTTATAACTAGTACTAATATTGAATATGTTGAGTCACGTTTCAAGTTGGTTTGGACCACTAAACAACAGCACAACAACATCTCTATCTTAGAAACTTAATGTTACTAACAGAATTGTCTTTGAATAAGTTTGAATAAGATAGACTATCACACATAGTTCAAACTATATCACGGTTAACCCGTCGTTAAAGAGGATTTCATAAAATATTTGTCACGGTTAAAAAATAATTAAATAGGATCCAATTTCCAATTAGTTTGTCTCAGTTGAATCGTGACTAACTTATACAGAACCTCCAAAAAGTTAAGACAACACTGATTCCTATAGTGCCTAATATGTTATACTATAATCTTAGTATAAGATTAGATGTTCTATAAGTCAAAACAACAATGAAATATAAACCACCCTACCCTCCAATGTCATTCTTAGGATGCAATGGAACACCATCTATTGTGACATGATTTAAGAGTCAAAGGAATCCAAATATAGAGACCATATGCATAATCTAAATGTTTTTTTTTTCAAACTAGCTTCATAATTACAAGTAGACTCTCACAATTCACATCCATGTAAGCCAATCTCAAGTTCTGAAAGTGGGACACATTGCATTAATTAAGTTTACAAATTGCTCATTGTCACACCTGTGTCTCTAGCATAGGAAGGGACTCCACTATTATTAGCTTTTGAAAAACTAACATAATAAAGCTCAGAGGCTATGCCTGTAAGAACAATGAAAGCAGCTCCAGCTCCAAATACTCCTTTCCTTAAGGTTTCACATGAAGGTGCTCTCTCTCCCATTAGATCTCTATACTTTGTATGGTAAGCATTCCTCACTGAACCAGCTAGAAGACATGAAGCAGCAATAAGAAATGTCAACCTGAAAATCATCACCATCACACATCATGAATTGGAAGACAAGAGAAAACACCATGTTTGGTCTTGTAACCTTGATTAAATCACATTATCATGTAGATATTTGTGGACATATTTTACGAACTAATAAGATAAAGTGGCCTCATAACATGATTTGATCTATGAATCATTGACACGGGCACGGACACTGGATACAACATCTACAATGACACGTCCAAACAAATAATAATGTTAGAACAACAATCAAATTAAAGAGAAACGAAAATAAAAGACAATGAACACGATTGATATTTGTTAATGCAATTCGACCAATGAATGCTTACCTCAGCGACTATAGAACAACTATAGTTTCTTTTATTGCTGTCTAATAATTAGGATTCATTAAGATTACAGTGTTACAAGCAATATATATAATACTAGGCTCAGTTTACAATAATACTCCTAAAGCCTCCGCACCCCCAGTTACCTACCTATAACAATCTCCACAATATGAGTCATACTCAACAAATAATTAGAAGAAATTGAACGTAATCACATATGTCGGTGTCAAGCAGTGTAGTCAAGATCAAGTGTTAGATTGTAAGTTCGTAAGATCTTACGTGCTAAGGATGCCTGAGAGTGCTACAATCAGATAAAGACTGTTTTGTCGCTGGTGTGGTCAAGATCAAGCTTTTTGAAGTATTGTAAAAAAAAAAGTGTTATATAAAATTACCATTTTTCCCTCCGATAGGATCCCATGTGCCGTGCTAATGATTCGAGTTTTAAGATCTTTCACAAGCCGATCGATCCTACTTTAGATCTCATGATTAACTATATTGATATCAGGTCATTATTAAACACTGGACACACCTTTGTTCAGTCATGTCTTTTGCTACAGAGGATTTGATGTATGTGTAAACAAAATATAGTTTGTGAATGAATAGAAACTAATCTCAAAAAAGTAAAACATACCAGGCAGTGATGAATAAACAAATTGCCCATGATCTGGATCCACTTGGTGCCATGGCTTTCCCACAGCACAGGCATCTAGTAACCACCATAATAATGACTTGACTGGCAACAAGGATAAAGAGGGACCCAACACCTAGGCCGGTGGCAATGTCAGAATCATATTGACAATACTTTCTGCCTTCAATATTTTGTGCTAAATTGGCCTGTTATTAGAAAAACAAATAATTAGTGCTACATTCTATGGAGTAGTATAAGTCTAATCTCAAACCTAAGTTTGTTTGTTTGTTTATTTCAGTCAATGAGTTTAATTGAGTCAAGCTTAAATAGCTCTCACAAATAGCTCAATTCTACAATAACCTTAGATATAGGTAGTTCTCTTCTCCTAGTTTGCATGTACTATGTTGAAACAACTTATGATTGTGTTGTCCTATCTGTAAACAAGTACTACAGTTGAAACAGAATCTACTCAAGCAAGTTAATCAAGGAAAAGTTCAGAAAATATGTGAGAGAGAAAGAGAGTGTGTGTGTGTGACTCACAGTACTTCTCCTTTGTTCAGCAGCAACAGCAAGAGCAAAAGCAATGAGATCAAACACAAACACCACAGCAAGTAACAAAGATGAAGCCATGGCTATCAGCTCAAGATCCACAACTTCAATCTATTCACAAAATCAAATCAAATAAGTAAATAAAAGTCACAAAAGATAATAGATTTAGATTCTTTTTTTTTTAATCAATCAATTGTTTACATATACCAACAACCTGGTCCAAACAAATTCCAAGAAAGGACAACCAAAGTAAAAACAAAACACAATGAAAGGCAACAAAAACTCAGTACTGTGTTAAAAGATAAGAGAGTTCTTGTTTATCCACTAAACAAGTGGGTAGAGTTAATTAAAATGTAAAATGCATTGAAAATATTCAAAATTAATTAATTTAATAAATGTTTAGATATAATAACGGATATAAAAATATATAAATCAAACTAAGTAATTTTTAAAAGTAAGTGCTCCAATCCTTTAATAAATAAATAAAAAGTAATTGTGCCCTCGGGTAAAGTGGAGTTTGCGCTATCATTAAAAAGAAGTGGAGTTTGCGTTTATATCAACAACAACAAAAAAAGTGGAGTTTTGGAGAAGTTTGGTTGCTACAATCGTGATCCAAAGGTGGTGAATTTTTTTGGAAAAGACAATATTTATGTTTGGTTCAAGAATTAGAGATGGGTGTAAATTGACTGAATTTGAGCTTGGTGGAGGGAATTGTCGTTGCGAAGGGGCAGGAATACAAGGTTAACATTTCAACTTTCATGTTAATAAATGAGTAAAAAAGTAGTTTTAAT